AAATAATCTAGTGTAGATAAATACATTTATATGCCGAAAAATATTTATTTGGGAGTTTGTAAATGATCTGAAATTATAAGTAGTTATATAAAGCAGACGTGAATTAGAATAGGTGACACTATCAAGTAACTACCGATAAAAATATAAAGTTTTTATTTGAAACAAACTGACATTCACAATAATTATTATGACACAATTATGACTGACAATAAATAGAGGAGCAAGTCTGGTCGAGTGTGCATAGTCTCACTTACGCTTTAATTCTCTTCGACGTTTATGGCACATTTCTTGGCAGTGGAAGCACTAGCAATATGTTGCGAGATGTCAAAACTAATCCTGCGATACTGAAAATCTTTCCTAGAATTTGCAGAAAGAAAATATTTTCAGCAATGATTCCATGAATTGTGAGCTTCAGCTAAGGGCATGAGCGATCAAGAAATGTACATTATTTCTGCATATTATTGCGTAAAAAGCAGGCAAATAAATATTGTGAAATCTTTGAAAATATGGCTAAAAGAAAACTAGTTACTTTACACATCAAGTACGCGTGCATACATCTAGATATATAATCACCCGCATAAATATTGGAGCCTTTTTTTAGAAGAAGTTAAAAACTAAATTTTCTCTGAGATGGGCTGAAATGAAATGTGAGAATGGGCTCACGTGTGTCATTATTCATTTTCTTGATTTTCCTTGGGGTTGTATAACTAACATGTTTGTCTTATTAATGCAGTACGGCAAATTTGTTTGTCTTATTAATCCAACGACTAATATGTGTGCCTTATTAATGAAATTTAGGTTTGTCGCAATGGAGGGTTCAGAAGCAAAATTTCAGCTGACTAGCAGGATGGGCAGTACAAATTAGGTAATCAGATTAGTGAGTATATTCAATGGAATCGAATATAACCTAAAAGTAGGAATAAAACCGTCCTGGGGTGTAGAAATTGTTGGTGTAAACTTGTACTTTTATGCATACTTCATTAAAATTTTTTAGAACATTCAAAATATTTCCATCTAAGCTTTTTTTGCAGTCATCAATTCGAGCATTAACGCAATTTTTTTGAGAATTTACACAGGGTTAATGAAATCTAATGAGGCACTATTCCAAATTGATTATATTTTATCATTATTTTGATTTCATGTCACGGTACTAATTTCTTCATTTTTGTAAGGTATTGACAGGTGCATCATGTCACATATCGAATATTTCATCAGAAACTCATTTTACTGCCTTAAATTTTTTTTGTCAAAAGCTTCTGTGAAGTCCAGCGACGTGTATGTTTAGGGGTTCTGAAAGTAAGATCGTTTGCCACGCCATAAAATAAAGTTAAGTTTGAAGTCTATCACGAACTGGCGATTACGATAAAAGCCTCAAGTGACATGCATGGTTTCTTATCGATTGACCTCAGAAGAAATGAACATGAAGCCCACGCATGTATAAGTGCGGCCTTCACGAACGAGCAGTTTAATGGAATGTTCAGCTCGACGTTGGCCATTACGAGCGAGTCTTAAAATAATCTCGCCGTCGTCGATAAAACGACATAAGTGCGAGTACGAACTGAACTCAATGCAGTACAGTGAAAAATTACAAAAAATCTGGGGCTATAACCTTCGTTCCATTACATTATTTGTAAAAACTATTGCTAGTTTAGAGCATATAAAGGGATATAGTCTGGCCACTTTAAAATGGAATGTTACAGCGGTTTTATTTCTAATATTGTAAAACTCTTAACCCGCTTTTGTTTGCGGTACGGCTCGAAAACTAAATGTTATCAAATTCAAGTTTTGATACTAAATTATAAATTGCATCTGTTAAGTATAAAAATATACATTTCCACAGTTAAATGCAAGTTTTAAGCGCTAATTACTTATACAAATATCTCCATTATTTTTTAATTAAGCAAATTTATTTTTATCATAAATAGATTCCAAAAAAATTATGAGAGAGCACAATACCATCATATTACTTCCCGTTAAATACGTTGACAAAAATTCCATTTCAGTCATCCACAATCCCGCATTTGCAAGCAGTCAATTAGTTTATATATTGGCTGGCATAATTTCCACAGTATTTGCAAAACATCGTCAGACATTAGGCACGAGTACCATATAATCTTTCCAAAGAGAAATGAGCTATAGTAGTCTTTCATCTGAATGAATTTAACAGCCGATGTATCGAATTTAGAAAAGCAACACATTTCACGAGTCTAAATCTTTATTGGGACGCTTGTTACTTTCTCTCGAATAATTTGACTTAAGAGCGAGCAAAAGGGAGTTCAAGCGACCGAAACTTACATCAAAGGTCCAGGTGATTTTTGACGCGGGTGGCTGTGCTTTGATGTGACAGTCAAAGTAGACGTCATCGCCCTCTTTGATGTTGCCCAGATCCAGCGATGAGCCAGCCTCGACCATCACCAGCGGAGGATCTGTACTCATAAAATGACTGGCGTGAGAAATTAAATCATTTTTTTCTACACACTGAATAATCATTAAATATCTGTAATCCCGACAGCCTTTGATAGGATCTTTCACCCCTGAGCAGTGGCCTTGATGTTCAAAAAATTCGGTATATTGTGAAGCATTTAATGCCGTGCTCATAAAGGGGAACTAGAGCGCGCGTTGTAAAAGCTTGAAAGTTTGAAAGGTTTGACATTGTGTTTGTTGATACAATATTGTATTTGACGGAAAAGTTGGATGATTTTTCAATTTTGAATGATTGAAGGTGAGCTTGTACATGCAATTCCTCAATATATTAGAAAGATTAAGGTTGTTTGTCAATTAATAATTGCGGATTTCACTTGGTTTTCATATTTTTTCCAGGTTTCATTTCATGATTATGATGTTTTGGAATTTAATCACTAAAACTTGACTCTGTTGATGAATCACCAATCAACAGTCGCATTTCGAAGGAAGTTAAAAACCACAAATCATGCCGGGCTGCTCTGTAAATTAGGTTGCTTGCACCAGGCCTCTCAGTCTGCGTTCATCTATCACACGTAAAGTATTTACTACTAGCAAACCTTCCGCAGCGAAGTTGTATTCCGAGGAATAGTTGGAAAAACAGCGGAGTGAATTATGAATTAAACAGAAATAAAGATAAATCTGGGACTGGAATTGCCGAATTAGCAATGAGAAACCCCAAAATAATGAGACATACACACTAATAACGACATTTAGGTTTTGATTTTTCCTGCTATTCAGAAAGAGAACACTTGTGAAAATTTGAAAAATTAATTAATACAAATTGGATTTCATGCGTAATGAAAATTTTATCATTGAGAGTTACAAATATCCAATGAATAGTTCATACTTTCTATTTTCAAATATCAATATTATTCATCAATTGTGAGACTTGTAGCTATCATTTCATGAAAATTTTCGATCAAAAAAAGCTTACTAAAATTTAAATAAGGAAGGTTGCCCCACCCCTCCATGTATAATTATAACGAATGCCACAACGAAATCAACCATGGCCGTGTGGTATCTGCGCGAGCTTCAAATCGACTAGAAGCGCATTTTAATTTTATTGGTAAGCAATATTCAGATCTCATGTCAATATATTTTAGACTTAGACGATCCAGTCGCGGATCTTGGGACAAAAATCAGCGCGAAGAGATCAATTCTTGTTGCGTAAGATGATCGCTATCATAAGCTGGCTGCAATGGAATTAAGAATAACGCTTTAGTATGAACGATAAAGACTTGAGATTGAATTTAATTAATAGGCTTGCTACCGACTTTTGTTTGAAATGAAATTTTGATCAAGCCATGCATGTTGTGAAGAATATTAGTTTAGTGATAGTACTCTTCATGGTTAATAATTTGATTTTTGAAAATAATTAAACTTTTCCAAGTTCAAATGAAAGCTTTCCTCAAATTATCTTACGATTTTATTGGTTTCTAGAAAGAAAATAATTCATCGGGCAGCTTTCAATTCACTGCATAGAAAAATTGAAGTCATCGCATAGTACCAAAAAGAAAGACGATGAACTGTAATGGAACTGATTCCGATTAGTGGAACTGTGATGATCTGACATGATCTACAGCACCATGAGAGTGTGCTGACAGAGTGAGAGTGCTTGACATGTTTTAGTCCCGAAAAATAAGCTTGTTTGCTTGAAATGTAGATAATGGCTTCTGCGGCATTTTGAAAATAGGGTTAACTTCCACGCATCACGGAAGTCAACTCTTCAGACATCAGCGAGTCAATGTCACAAATTGGTTACAACGGCCTTTTGCCATGTCTCTGCACATACAGAGGCATACAAGCTTATAGTCTGTAAGCCAAGCCGCCTAATGTGATTACAACTGACAGAGCTGTTTCAATATTTGATTTCCAGAGACTAAATCATGGAAGCAAACTGAGACTTCCATCGGACAGTTCCATGAAATTTCGTTTATCCAATTACTCGTAACGTTCCCTAACAAGTTGATCTCAAATTTTCTACGTTGCAAATTGTTTTCTAGATGACGATCGTCATCATTGGCGTAGTTGGTGAATGTCTTTAAAAGTTCGTTGATAATTAATTTATCATCCACCTACATTTATTTACGAGACCGAACAATACGTCGAAGTAGTGAACGTTTTTTCCGCAAAATTCCATTTGATCGTCGTTGATGAATGATTCTGCGTCTGATTCTACGCCGCGCAATTTCCTAATGAAATAAATCTTAGATATTGCTGTACAGATTCATGATTGATGAATAATGCATACAATGGAATGCGAGGACAGACGTATGAGCCTTGTCAAGTAATTCATTGATTGAATCAGAACAGCTATTCAATTCCTTAGAACTGACAAGAACCTCGAGTAAGTTTTGTTTTTATTTCCACCAGAGTCTTCTTTTTTAACAATCAAGGTAATTACACGAATTTATTTACTTTGCAAGGTTTCATGGGAATTACAGCGCGGAATATTGGCGATTTACAACGCTATTTGTGTTACTTCGATAACATCAACTCAATTCCATCACTGACATGAACCTAAAAAAATGCTTTCATGTCTGCAATATTTATATTTTTCGTAAGCAATTGCAATAGGAATTATTTTGATTGTATATTGCTTTGAAAAAGCGAGCATGTACTCTCGCGATGAATAATTGGAGGCTCTGTAACGATTGGTAGTGAAGATCTTACGTGGGAATGAACGCGTGTTACACAGTCACGTCGTTGAATTTAATACGAACGATCTTCAGCACAAAACCAGCTGCTCAATGGGTATGAGCTTGTGTTCCTAGCCTGATCCAGAGCTTTTCCCTGGCTTCATATGCCCAGTTCAACTCATGTTCTCATTACTGAGTTCCACTCATTACACAAATATGCAGACGAATAGTTCAATATATTTTGATACTTTCTCGGCAATTCCCTACATTCAAAATCACGTTAAAAGTTATCAATCATCTTTTCTCGATGAAAATATAGAAACCGTATAATTTTTTGCGCCTAACCTCTTATATTATGACGCAATTAGTATAAGCAATGCGCTCGTTTGAATTATTTTTCTACCTTTATAAAACCAACAAGGTTAAAGGTTAATTTACACACATATAAATGAAGTTATTTAGTTATTTATAAGTACGCACTCTGAAATGAGAAAATAATAATTCGCATATTTTTTTAAGTTATGGTAAAATAAAATTGGCAATGATGATTTTCCGGAGTAATGGTAAAGATATTGTGGATAAACTACTCACAGAGAATTTCGAGGGTCTGAGAGTTTTCGAGAACAGCGGTTGGGAGTTCCGGGTTCTGGGCGCGGCAGGTGAGGATACTTCCTTCGTCCTGCGGCTGCAAGACCAGCTCCAGGGTGCTCGACGACACTTGGCCATCCAAGGAGGTCTGGACAGTGAACAGATCAAGAAGATAAATATTAACAAATTAATCTAAGAAATAATAATCTAATGCCTTTTATTACTGTCAATCGTTACATTATTTCTACAAATCCGGCGGATCGTAGAAGCATGAGTATGAGCTATCAATCCTAAATGGCTCTCAGCCGTTGTAGCTCCCCAATTCGTACCTACAATTTGGCCACCACACTCCCGGGTAACGCAGGGAAGGCCAAATGCAACATCAAAGTCAGCCACTAGGATGAACCGCCTGTCACTCACACTGCTCTTCCTAAGGGTCAACGTCGAAGATTTTCTCCCTTGCGTCTATGGTGAGAGAAAATTTGCACCGATTTCTTGCGCAAAATACACCCTGGGACGGATTACCGAAACTGATTCTGGTCCATCAATCTTGGCTGAGAAGAGTCTCGCCCAAGATGCCCATTGTTAGGCGCCCAATTCAGGCAGCGTTGATTCACTCGGTGTCCAAGCCATGGACTGGGAGACGAACGAGCCTTGCCTTCGGTGGTCGATCGACAAGATTCCATAGAAATGATGGACAATATTTTCCGCCGATCGCATCAGGTTTCAACGCTCCCGTCCTCCTCTTGATCAATCTATCATGCAGGGCACTTACGCCTTCATCACGGCGGAGTTCAGCGAGAAAATTTAGCCAGTATTTTAAAGAAAAGCTGAAAAATTAGGCCTTTCATAGTTTCTATATATTGATGATTAATAGTTCGCGTGCAGGTACAAGTTGAATGGTGCTGGGAGCAAAAGAGTCTATGGACTACGTCAGTGGCGAGAAAAATTAAATTTGTTCGACTAATTTATAAGGTCTTCGAGTTTTCTACCTCTGGGCAGTTTCACTCACAGAAAACAGAAATTATCTTCTATGAACGACACCTAAACGCAATTGATGTAAAGCGATAGATAAATGATGAGATTAGATTTTAAGGGTGTAGTGTGTTGAGTCTGCTCATTATTATCGTCTTTGTATTCCAATTCAATTGAAAATTAATCTTTAATCTCGCTTCTTCCTATTTGAGATTTTTTTTGTTTTTCTCGCCAGTGTGTTTGAAACCCGTGGAAATTCCATGACATTTTCACAGTTCCTTCATTACGGTGACATCTAATCCATCTGCAATTTTATTTTCGGCGGAGAATCGTAATCGGGTGCTTGAAAGACGATAAGTGTGATAAGAGTTGATTGAGTAGAGTCTAAATTTCATAGAAATTGTCACTTGTCAAAAAGTGATTTAAATTGAAAGTTCTCCCAGAGGTGTTGGATATAAAGGGCTACCTTAAATATTCATTAGGTTGATTAAAAAATTATTTATTTATTGATTTATTGTATTGATTATTTATTATTAATTGAATTATTTACTATTATTGACTCCAGCCACCGGTTTTTCTCAGATTTTAAGAATTAATTTTACCTAGCTAGGAATAATAGAGTTGAGCCGCTTTTTAATTATTATTCCTGCAGAATCAAAGACTCAGCAGTTGCGACATGGCATTACGATACGGGACCCGGAGTGGCTAACTGCATAGAAGTTACGACGCTAATCCATATAACTTTTACGTTTCATTGATGCGGATTCTTTAGACATTATTTTAGTCATATACTGTTGTTGTTCTTTGCTGAATTTATTACTTATATGACCTCTTGATAATATTATTAGGCTAGGTTATGTACGATCCAGCAGATACTGATCACCGGCCGGTTGAATGGTTGGATCGCGGCCTCGATCATAACATATTTTCCAGAAACTAAGAAGAGGTGATCACTGATCACCTCTTCACACACCTCTTCACCTCTGATCACAGAAGAAACTAAGTGGGTTATCAATGATGCTAGCAAATGTTTAATAGCAAAATGGTTATCCTTAGCATTATGAAATGCAATTAACCAATTATTAAGGCAACTGAAATACTATGGGCAGTCAGAGTAACGGGAATTTTTTTCGGAAATTTTGAGCGCAAGCTTAACATGATATGACAAATACTCTTTTTTACGTTACATTATTTTTAATGAATTCTCAGGAAGATCGCAGAATAAATTAGCTTGTTTGATAATTACCATAGCATCATGCATGTCGAACGCAACGTTCTTCTTAAGAAATTTATCGACATAATACGTGTCAAAAATGATCTCTTGAACGAAATTTTCGCTTTATTCGCATTTTTTAGCTGCACGAGCGGTCTGGATCGATGCTGCCTGGATCATCTTTCACGTCGTGAGGCTGTAGAGCCGAGCACTCGAGAGCAGGTAATACGCGGCTTGATCCTGCAGGTAATACGCGGCTCGATCCTGCAGGTAATACGCGGCTCGATCCTGCAACTAACACACGTCTCGTTCCCGCCTTCCATGGCTTGGTCTTGCGATCCATGGCAACGTGTGAGGCGAGTTTAATTGCGTAAACATGAGTTTTATGCTTACTATCGGCCCCGGGCCGCATTAACGCAGAATTAATTCAAAATAAACGCTCTACAACACACTTCAACGACTATTTAAAATCATAAATAGGGAAAAACGTCATTTGCGTGTAATCTATAATACTAGTATCAACATAAATAATTATTGATCCACTTCATTAAATTGAGTGAAAGTGAGATGTGGCGAACTATCTTTACGTTCTAGGAGAGAACTATGAGCTTTAATATTTCAATTTATTTGGTTAAAATACAACGAGCTTGAGAGTGAGCAATTGAATTGAATATAATTCAATATATTATAATATGAATATACATCATATACTAATTCATTAAATCTTCCCGTGCCCAGTTTGAAAAGATTGAAAAAAGCAACGAGTCTGCGTCTTGAAGACATCTTCAAGACGCAGAGCTTGAGAGTAAATTAATCAAGAAGTACACGATCTTATTATTGCAAACCGCGGATTATTATTTTCTTGATCTCGGTTAACATTGGAAAATGTCCAAATTAATATCATTTAAAATAACTATTTGGATGAAATTGCAAGAAAAGTTACTATTCTACTATTCTAAAAATAAGTCATTGTGAGCTAATACTCAATAAGTGAGCTCATACTCACTTACGTGAGTATGAGCTGTTAAATTGTATCCTTGTCGATGAATAGCTTTAAAAAAGGAAGAAAATTGAAATAATCACAAAAAGAAGGGCAGATTTGACTTGAGAGGCAATGAACTCCTCAGACTTTGTACATATATTCGAAAATGAACAATATGTCGTCCAATTTTTTCATCAGTTTGTAACTAAGTCTAAAAGTTCTCAACTAAGTTAAAAAGATAAATAAAAAAATGTAGTTCCCCTTCATTACGCGAGGTTCACAAAAAGTTAACAATAACAAATTATATCGTGTGTTACGTATTTAACTCGCAGTTAAAACAATGAGAGTATTTATGTCGCTTTCGGCGGATGGTTATTTAAAGCGAATTCGATGATGTCGATGATAAAAGCAAATTATTACATCATATTTAAAGCGAATTCGATGATGTCGCGAATTCGATGTTCGTCCGCAGGCTAAGCCGTCAGTACACCAGCGTCACTACAATGCAGCGGCTCCTAATAATTACGGCGACCAGAACTCTGAGGCTGTAAAGGAGAAGCTCTGTAAAATGCTCCCGAAGTAATGTGACGTTCCTTGAGAAATTAGGCAAATGAAGCTGCCAGCCTGCCTTCCTGCCTGTCCGAGACGAAGGCAAGAAAGTCCTACACCTCGTAATTTAGAAATGATTCAAGCTGAGCTCAGCAACTTTTCGATGCCGATCGGCGGGAATTAAAACTTTGTAGATAAGAATTAGGAGCGGCGTAGAAGGGTTCGTGAGAGGCTAAATTAAATCTAGTCAGAAGAAAAAACAAACCTCACAAAAAGACAATAACTAATGACCGTCATACTAATAAAATATATAGAACAAATTTCACCTTTTGTTTTGAAAGTCGAAAGCTAGAAATATCCAGGGAGGGCACATCTGTTTATTAATTTGGTTCAACAAGACCTAATAAAAACGGTCACACTTGAAAAAGTTGGGCGTTAGGTGCATTCTCAGGAACATATGGAAAATCCAGTCTGCCTGCGCCGGCAGCATTCACATTGACACTCGGACTGTTGGGTCCGGCTCCACGGTTATATCCAACACTTTGAAACTGAAAGTGATTGACATTTTTGATATGATTTATGATGATGTACGAATATATCTAACAAAATGTTTGAATTTTTAGAACCATTATTTCATAGCTAAATTATAAACCACCAGACGTTAAATCAACGTAGTATTATTTATGCTCTTTTATAATCAACGTTAATTAAACATTGTTTCATCACCATTTTCCTGGGGAGAATTTAATTATCATTTTTAATGCACTAATTTGACAAGATATTGCCATAAACTTTAAATTAAACTCTCTTTTCTTATGAAAATCTCCTGATTTATTTAGCGACTGATTACCTGTTGCTTCGCTGCAGGTCATTGAACTGGGACACAAATCAAGCAGACAGCCGAATTGAATACTTATATCTTCATATCTTCAATTCTATTAATTTCCCCTATACCATTTTATTTCAAATTCCATCATACACACGCTCTATATAGGCAGCATATTATTTACTCAACATTTTGAGCCGGAGTCCGCTTATTTGTCGCTCCAAGTATCCTCAGCCAGCTCGTGCAACTTTTTGAATAATAAGTACTTCCACTCGCTCATGGAATGCGGGTCGATATACCACAGACTAGTGATTTCTCGACACCTGGTGCAAAATTGTTTCCAATTAAATCCGAGTTGACGGACATCTACACATGAAAATGAGATCGATATTGGCGCTATCTCACACAAGACAGTAGTTCTGAATGTGTGAGAGCATCGACGCTCGACCGAAATAAAATGAAATTATAGTAAAATAAAAATCCGGTAGCAGAGGAAGAAGCTGAGATAAAACAGCTGGCTTGTTATGTTACGGCCAACTTTTCGTGAGGCTTCAGCTAATTTTTTCATCCTGAGATCTCAAAACGGCGTAAAAATGAATCAGT